ATGCCTGACCAAGATTAGCCCACAGAACCACATATCTTCCAGCATTTGGGCATTTGCCGGTACTCGTGCTGCATTGTGGTGGTGACGTAATGTGATCACGCTGCCGAAAGCAATTTCTGGCGAATAGCTTTGGATCGCTGAACTCTTCATGTTGCATTTGCGCCTTCAACTGTGCCACGGCGCATCATATGTGAACCACAGCGACGCATTTCGGAGTTGCGCAGCATTGTGCGGCAGGTGGACATAAAGGGATGACGCATAGATGAAATTCGACGCTTATCCATCAGTGTGGGCAGCTGTGTGCTGTGCCCGCGTGGAAGGTTGGGTTTAAGGTGTAGAGGTGTCCTTGCTGTGGCAGGACGTTCCGAGATAGAGCCTTCGGCGCGGTTTAGGCCCCTGCATTTCCTGAAAAAGAGTTATTATGTAAGGGTCAACACGTGTGCTGCCAGTATTCGGCTGTAGGCATTCAAGCGTTAAGACGCTCGTGATGCCCTGTCGTAGCGTGGGTAGGGTGGGGGAGTAACCTTTTTGCAGGTGGTGCGTTGGTGTCGTAATGGCATCCGGCATGATATATCCGATTTTGTGAGTTACCAGGATGCCTTTCAGGGCGATATGCCGGAGGCGTGAGTCCTGTATTGCAAGCATACCCACGGGTTCGTTGTTTGTTGCATTTCTAGCTGACCGCCTTGTATGCTTTTTGAACATGGAAGGAGATATTGCAAATGCAATAATGCTTATGGGGATCGCTGATTTGGGTGAGACTTTGGCTGGGTTCATCTGCCCCGAGGTCGTCCCGTTTGTACATCATGCTTTTGGTATGGCCGTTGCTCCTGCATTTTGTCTGGGCAGTTCGTAGCCTCGGGAATAGCGGCCACCGGCTGGTCACAGTGTACTGGAAAGCCGAAAGTGGCGTTTATGTCAATGCGTCGCAGTATTTTGAATTTCACAAACTACTTGGGCGGTGGGCTCAGAATGTGGGTTTGAGTGTGAAATATGAGACTGAAATGCTGGGCAGTTACTAGTCGCAAGCGAAGTGTGCGCAGCGGGGTTTTGCGTGGGGAGTGCAACGTGAACGTAGGACGCCCAGGGAGGTGTGCAATACATATGCAAATGCAAAAGGCATAGATTCCGAAATGGGGCTAGATTATTTGCCCCCCAATACGAGTGCGGGATATTGCATGCTATCAAATGCTTAGAAGGGGGACCCCAAAAGTTCAGTTTTTCAGTGCCTTCTGTCAAAAGTGGGCGCATGCGCCCTTTTTGGTTTTGCTCGCTCGAGCTTGCATGGCGTGGAAACAAGCGGTTCTGCCGTACTGTAACGGGCAGCACATTGGTATGGGTAGTGTGCTTGGCAAGCCTTATAGCTTGGACAGAGATTAGGCTGCTGAGTGAGTGCAGAAAGTGTGTTGGTTTCCGGAAATTCTATACCAGGCGGGTGCAGTCACTGCACGTGAAACCTGTTAGGATTGGCTTTAATGGTTCGGCGGAGACGAAAGCTTGTAGATGCCCATCCACTCTGTCACATGTGAAACGCTCTTTCTGCCCAGTGTGACAGTTTACATGGGCTTTTTGGGGTTTTCCGCTAACCGGCTAGATGAATACCCGTACGAGCGTTGAGCATTAGGTGACGTTTCTAAATGCCTTTCTCTGTCAGTGTGGTGTATGGCCAGTGTGCTGCCCATGCGCGCATTATATATTAAGCCGCAGCACATGCACGAAAAACCGTCGGCGCTGGATTTTTTGCGCCCCATTGGGCACGCAGTAAACTTTCATTAGGTGCATATATTTAGATATCCCCATAGTTTATGGATATTGCTGGTCATGGCTCCACTGCAGAGTTCGTGGAATAATGTGGACGTGTGGAAAACCGCACTCCGAGAAATGCTTGGTAGGAAGTATGTTTGTTTTTGTAGGTAAAATTCTGGTTTAGCAGTTCCGTGCATACGTGGAGTTAAGTGGTCGGTGCTGTGAAGAGGCTGCATTTGTGCAAATAATGTACTATCGTGTTTGGCAACACAAGCCCAAGGCCCATGGTTGAGGTGTGGACTGTCGTGTAGCTAGATGAATGGACTGACAAATGTAGGTGCAAAGTAGAGAAGAGTGGAGTTGTTATTTTGGAGTGCGCAAAGTACGCCCTACCACAGCAAAGCATTTGGCATTTTCAGCTCGTGTGTCACAGGTTGTTGATCGGCTGCTGCCCTAGGGGAGGACGTGTTGATTTGCTCGAAGTCTTGCATATCGTTTGTGGCGGTCGTTTCTCTGCTAAAATGCGTTTTGCCGTGGTGTCTCATCCTGTTTATGAGTTATTTGGCTGACCAAAATTCTACCCAAAGCGTTGCTTTCGCCTTGTTTTCAATTGCAGTGACGGCGGAAGTCAGAGTGGCACGCATGGTGTCCTTGCAGCACAAGCGCAGGTTCATATCGGATAGTATGGTGAGCACGTAAATGATGCGACGGCATTCTCTGCACGGTTCGTCACACACGTTTCCAAGCACATGAAGGACTGTGCGGAGATCAGTGGCTTTTTCGCGTGTATGGTCTGGGGACATCACAGACCGTGCACGTTAACTGCGTTAAAGTTAGTTTTGCTGATGGGGGATTCTGCACTTTATTCTTTCTCCGGGAGACGGTCTTCGGACGCTGTGCTCTCTAGGGGCAGCAGGCCTTTCGAATGGACTTGAGTTTTACAACACTCTCGATAAGTTTTCGGGAATCGCGATTGCATATACTCCTCGCCAGCGTTGCGCAACTGCATCGCTCTAGGAAGCCACCTTTACGGCCGCCAAAACAGCACGCTGTTCTCAAGAGAAGGGCCCATCCACAGTCCATCTACGGAGCCTCACGTCAGCATTTGTGTTGTACACTGTTCCAGGATGTGGGTCAAGAGCCCTGCTGAAATTGACCGTTCGTCGCAGTATGGCATGCTGCCACAACTGGTAGGTATGTGCAATCCAGGGCTTTGTAGTTACATATTAGTACGTGGCAATTCATAGTTGGCCATCTGCTGCGTATCACCAGCTGGGGCGGCATAACGTTGAAGGCACTGTTGGCAGGACGGGGACACCTAGCTGTTAATCTATTCTATATGCACGTCTAAAGGCATACAATATGATATTTGCACAAATTGTTACTTTTATGGTTTAGCATGAAAATTTGCATCCGCATGGGGAGCAGCGGGGCATGGTGAGGCGCGCTTTGCGTTTCTGTCGCCTTGTGAATCGTACTCCTAGCTGCACTGTGTGCCGTTGAGTAATTTCGTTTGACCATACTGAGTTGTGTGCCCTGGGTGTGTGTATGTGAGCCGAAGGCCACTCCGTTTTGTTGGGACTCGCGATAATATAAATTGGCGTACACGTGCGTTTTTGAACATGCTCAGATATTGATATTCGCTGCATGGGCCGCTTTGTGTCAGGAATAAGTGAAGAGTTTACCCCTATGGAATGATCTATGGCGCCTGACACCCCTATAAGTGGAATCGTGGGCATTAGTACCTATCTTTGGTTGCAGGCGCCTTTCCGCGATCAATAGTTTTATTGAAGATTCCGCTGATGCGGCCCTCCAGCACGCACATATTGCTCTGCCATATACGAACCTGCACTGAGTGACGCTTGCATAAGGTGTGTCAGGGAGGAGTGGAAGCAGCAAAGAGTGAAGCATATTCCCAGATGTTTCGTGGATATCTGCTAACATCGAGCGCCTTCGGTTTACCGGACTCAATGCACGAAGTTTAATGCGAAAACAATGCTTTCAGGTGAAACCTTACTGCACAGACATGTATACCTCCAAAGTTGGGCTCACCACACGCTCGTTGTTGAATTGTGGTACGTGTAAAAGTTCGAAGCAAGGCTTCTTAATGATGCCAAACTGTGATAGCTACGCCGACCGAAGGTAGGTCGCGCGAATTGGTCAAATGTTGAGCGTGCACGAAGCGCTCGCCACCTGTCACAAGCTGCGACATTAAAGCCAGTATGTAACTCCCAACTTTGCATCGAGAGTTGGATAAGAGCAGTACCACTTGCAGAGGACAGGGGAGTGCTAGCAACGGTGTGGAACTCAATTCTTCGGCTGCATCGCTTGATCGCTCTGCAATTGTATTCCTTATCGGGTTCGAGTAGCACGTCGATTCCGAAAACGTGTTCAAATCTGTCAAGCTGCATCTGCTTTGATTCCCTGTATCCGAAAATATGCGTGTGGGCAAACTGCGTATCGTTTCAAACAAGCAAGCTGGCTGCTAACAATGTTTCTGCCTTTTTGCGAGGGCTGGTGCTTGATGGGATTCTCGGCAAAACTGCCGCGGCTGTATCTCTTGCATAGCTGCCGCCTTTCACAGCATGGAACTGCTCTTACACCTGTACTTAACATTGGCTAAGACTGCCCAGGGAAAGTTTTTCACGCTCCGCCGCAGAGCAGCTACGCGCGTGAGCGGGGGTTCAACCGACTGTTGAGTGCACTCGGGCTGTGGCATGCCTCAACGCATACGCATTCTAAGCTAATCTTTCTGGGTCGTTGGAGACACGGCCAGAGCAGCTGGAAGGGAGTGGTTTCAGACCATGTTCACTTAGACGCCCTCAAAACGTTCTGCGCATGCACTGATGTGGATGCTAATACTGCTGCGTCACGCAGGAAGTACTCCGTCCACGCATAATAACGCAAACGGGCATTCATTTCTCGATGCACCGCTAACCTTTTGGCATCCGGCATGCTATCCTGTACCAAATTAGAAGCGTTACTTCAAGATTGCCGAAGGCCGGGGACTGCTTATCCAAGCTTCTTAGGGGTCGCCCATGATCTGCAACGGCTGCCCATGCATTCACCATGCTTTGGTGTGACGCGTCCCCCCGGGTAGAAAGTTTTGAACAGGATTGTACGGCTATGCTGCACCGAGTTTTCCACGATGTCCTGCGCTGCGAGGCGCGTTTACGCATTCGTCAATGTGAAGGACAAACAACTGGAAACGCATTAAACGCATAACATCAGATTGGGCTTGCGTCACCTTAGGAAGTGCGTGACTGCCTTCTGGGCGTTGACTGACTGGCGCATGCACACGCGTGCATGCAGGCTGGCAGACAAGCCCACGTTGTGCTGCGAAGTTACACACTTGGATGTCGTCCACCGATGTTGATGTTCGTCTTGGTGGAAAACGTCAGATCTCGAACCTTGCCACCG